CAACAGCACTGCAGACACATTTCCCTCTACCCTTGTGCTGCAGAACTTAGCTACATAAATCCACTCAGGAGACAACACCTGACCACTAAGAGCTTATAGCGTACTTATTCCAAAGCACCTGAGCTCCTCATGATCTGGTATGATGGCACAGGTGCCATGGTTCTCAATACTCAGTCCAGAAAACTTGGGACTCCTGCTCTTACCTTTCACGTTCAATCTTCCTCTAATCTAGCATCCAGAGCAGCCTACTCCCTCAGAAAAAAAAAAAGAAACCTGAGCAGATTGCTTGACATTCGATTAATAGGATTAGTCTCCTCTTGTGGTCAGTCCTCCTGAGCTATGTTCCACTTGCCACGAGCTGATTAGCTGTCTGCTTAAGGAGGAGCTGGGATAAGTTTCCTTCTGACGGCAGTGGAGAGGCAGGCACTGACTGTAATAATATGCTGTTTCCTGTCTGCGGCTGAGCTGAGAGGTACTTCACAACAAAAAAGGGTTTACAGGAGCTGAGGAGTTCAGGCTCCACCTCTTCCAGTGAAGAGCCTTTAACTAGGGAGGAGGGGTCAGCAGCACAGCTCCTGACTGAGCTTCACTTCCACTAAGGCATTAGAAGGATTAAACTACACATGTCCCTCCACAGAGAGGAGCTTCCTCCTATGGGATTTCAAAGCTCAAAATAAAATGGGATGGGAAGTGAATGTTGCAATTCATGTTATGTGAATTATGAGGGCAAAAGTCCACACCACCACATCACCATTTGCTAGCAATAACTGGAACACATGAGAATCATACCGAAACACAAAATATGTACCTGGAAAGATCTAATAATGTCCTTCCTTGGCCCTCTCCTCTTGATGACAGGTGTTTTTTAGTTACAGTTTTGGAGATATTTTAGGGGCTTTTCCCCCCTTTGGCTTTACACAAATCCAGCACAAGGCAGGAAAGGGTCAATGAACCGATCACTCCTTCAGCTGTGCCAATTGCACTGAAGGCAGCAGGCTTAATTCAGTTGGCACCACCTAGAAAAAGGCAGATCTTCAGGTAACATATCAACAACCTGAGGAGGAAGAATATGTCTAACACAAAATATTTACAAAACTGGGCCTAAGGAAATGACCCAAAGTCCTTTCACAGACTCTTGAGGGGATAGCTGTGATGGCAAAGTGTTGGCATGAGCAACAATTAGAGCCACTGGTGCCCCCCAAACCTCACAGGCTTCACAGGTTAGAATGGGAATGCTGGATAGTTCAGGTCCATAATACAAGTAAAACAGTCATTTTGTATTTCCAAACCCCAGGCTTCCTGGAATGATCTGGATCAAAAACTATTGTAGGTTCAAAGTATAGAACTCGTCCTCATGCATTTTGTTTTAAAGCTCCCAAAGCAACTGCAGGCTAACGCATTAGGTGAGCACATCCACAAATCAAGTTACTACAAAACTGCACTGTCCAAGAAAAAACTGCTCATGAAAACAGCTGAAGTCTCTTTGAGAAGACCCAGGGCACCCAGTGTGATTCCAAATCATCCGCTTTTCAGAAATCACAGGGTGTGGCTGGGAAAGCTCTGCTCAGAAGTCAGGGTCAGGCTTTGACCTCACCCATCCAACGCTGCTGCTCTCTCTCTCATAAGGAATACCAAATGTAGGCATATATCAATGGCAAGAATCCAGGCTAAAAGGTGATCACTATCTTTGAAATAAATGGGTCTGAAGTACCAGGACAACACGGTTATCATTAACGCATATAATATCTCAAAGGCAGGTGCCAAGGGGATGGTGCCAGACTCTTCTCAGTGGTGCTCAGGGACAGGATGAGGAGCAATGGCCAAAAACTAAACCACAAGGAGATCACCTCAAAATGAAGCGATGAGGAAGAACTTATTTATGTTGAAGGTGGCGAAGCACTGGACCAGGTTGTCCAGGGAGTCGTGGAGTCTCCCTGGGGTCTCCAGAGTGGAGTCATTCAAAACCTGCCTGGGCACGTTCCTGTGTAGCGTGCTCAATGTGACCCTGCCTTGGCAAGGGGTCGGACTGGGTGATCTCCAGAAGTCCCTTCCAACACTCACACTTTTGTGATTCTGTTGAGTTTGTACCCCAGCAGATCCTCTCTAAGGCGTTGTGAAAGACAGCAGCCCTAGGAAAATCCACTGGTGAGACATCTATGCACCAGGTACTAAGGGACCATACATGGAAAGAACCAGCTACTTACAGCCCAGACATCCCAAAATAATTTACCTTCTAGATAGATGACTTAGAAGGACACCAGTGGCAGAGATGTGACAGAAGCAGCAAGTATTACACCTACAGTCGTCCTGAGAGAAGATAGCCTGGCATGGGACTCCTATATGATTTGTTCCCAGAGGCTTCTTGCTAAATAATTCTGCAGCTACTCTGCCTGACCTGAATTAAAGGAACAATAGCTAAACATAAAGCTTTTCCTTGCACCTCTCAGGGGACAGAGCTGTATGACATCGTAAGCTCAAAGATGTCCCTAGTCACATACTCCCAGCCCATTCTATAGTCACATATCCACTAACTCCGGGCAGCAGTCCTGAAAACTGTCCCAAAACAGGATACACTTACTGAAGAAATCTATGCAAGATCAACTAAGTAAACAGTAGAACCTGTATTACACACTCTTCGTTTTAGAGAAAGAGGTCTGCATTGTAATACTCACTTTTCTTCCTCTCCCGTCTGCTAACAGCAAACAAATCAGCTGTCAGACTTATGTCCTATGTAAAAGGCTTACTGACAGCTGCATTTTTAGCCTTTATTCCTTTGTTTATCTGATACAACCTTTGTTGGCTCCATGCTCTGTTTTTTTTCTCTCATGGTGCTGCCTCTCCATGTACTGTTCTTTTCATCAGTTTCTCCTCTGACTGGTGACCCTTATTATCTCTTTGTGTTGGATCCACACTGCTCCTCTGGAGTGGTTTATCTAGTGTTTGCTTTCCACCTCTTCTGTTAGTACTTCAGAAGTGTCATTAACGCAACCTGACTTTCAGAACCTATACATTAAGCAGTACTGATGCTTGGACAGAGGATGAGTTTCCTCAGAAAGCAACCACTCTTTCATAAATCCAAACCCACCAGTCTCCATTGAAGAAAACACAGAAACAAGAAGAAAACCAGAACACCTAAAACTCCAGAATAACTCTCTCTGCTATACAACACTAAATGCTGGAAGTTTTTGGTTTAGGATAAAAGTCCAGTAAGTCCCACTGATTTGAAACAGATAAAAACCATTAAAGCATCAGAGAACACTGAATTTAGAAAATAACCAAGCTGGAGGGATACAGGGGAAAACAAAGTGGTCTCAAAGAAAACCAAGAGGAAATTGCATGACTGCAAGGAATCCAAAGCACTGTTGGCAGTGATGTGGCAGACCAAACAACAGCAAGACAAGGCAGCCTTCTGATTTTCTAAGTAATTTTATAGCTTATGGTAAACAACAGTCAAACCTCTCTACAAGCCATGTAGAAAGATTCAACAGAAATTAAGAAGAGAGATGTTTTAATTAAGTTTACCTGAACCCCATTACATAGTGATCAGCTGGAGACAGTGCAAACTCTATCTGCTACTTGAGCATCAAAGTAATCCTATACTTTTTACACTCTAGGGAAGGCAGAGCCTGATACCATAATCATGGAAATAACTCTTCATTGTTGGACTCAGATGGGGCAATCAGAGAGCAAACGCACCATTTCCTCCTGTCCCTACACAGTATGCCTGACAGAGATTAGATCTCTCCCAGCTATAATAATAAGCAAAAAAGTAACCTGAAAAATCAGTCTTTGTTTGTATATGGGAAAACTGAAGCAAGACCCAAGAAAAAAAAAAAAGCTTTATTTCCAGGTGAATAACTTCAAATTCTTGAAAATGTAATCCCCTATTGAAATCACTGCAGAATCCTTCTCTCTGTGCACACAAACTGACACCTTATTCTACTCACTATGAGATTGAAATGTGTCTCCTACTTGTCCAATTATGGATGCAGAGTGTTTTCAAACTTTGAGTAAGTGCTGGGATTTCATTTGGATGTAGAGTGGGCACCATAGCTGCTTTGCACAGGTACTGCAAAGCAAAAAGCTACAGCTACGTAACAGAAACATCCTTTGCTGGATGTTTAAAGCAGTAACTCAAGGCACACTTGCTCAGCCTTGGTCACCACCTGCAAGTCACCAACCTACAGGAGCAGCCTCCTCCCTCCACCTGGACTGCTCCCCCCTTTACTTTGTTGCTTCCTTTCTCCACACCCTCTCTTTGCTCCCTTTTGAGCTCCTCAGAGGCTGCATGGAGGTTACTGCCGTTAGCCAATTCCGAAGCTCATGCTGCTGCTTGACACTCACCCTGCATGGCTGTTAAAAGCTTTTTTCTGCACACCAGGCATTTCCCCCAAAATGGAGATTGTGGGACACCTGCACCTCAGCAATACATTTTTTCTCCCACTTACTAAGCCTGGAGAAAATTAAGCAGCGACACCATGACATTTCCAAACATATTTCACATCTAACAAGTATTCTAAAGCAATTCCATAGTTATTTCTATATGACTTGTTCCTCCTTTTGCTTTGCCACTATATATAGTGCGCATATATAAACACATGTACTGCCACACGCAAATAAAGTCAGAAAAAGAAGTTTACATATTTTAAGGCCTGGAAGGAAAACTAAATTCCTTGAGCAAGATCTCCATCTTAAACATCAATACCACCCCCAATTCCCTCAGCAGAACAAATTTTTCTGTTCCACTGCATAAATGGCTTGTAACGAATCCTCCTAGCTTATAGTTAAGAAAATACCTGAATGCAAAGTTTTAGCACTGTATGTAGTAAGCCATGGTATTTCCCACATGCATGGAGATGAATTATGATGTTATGAGGAAAACAAGTAACTTTTTTCAGTGAAAGATGCTGCAAAGATTGTTAAGATGTTTTTAAGCTCTGCAGAAGAGAAGAGATGTGGGGAAAAGATGCAAGAATGGAAAATAACGCAAAAAAGCCTACCGTGAAGCTGTTGTTGACATTCTTAGTGCTGGATTCTGCCACACTGGCATCTGTCAGATCCACCTCATCAAAAATAATGGACTGGAAAGAAAAATTCAAAACCCCAATGAATTATTGAATCCAATGTAGAAGCAGCACACTTAAAGGGACATGCTTGTATGTCTGTCTAGCAGACTCCGTCACAACCTTATGTGATCTGAAGGAAAAACCCAGCATGAACAACATGAAGGATTTGGATATCTAGTTCCATACACTGGGGCTTGCACTTGCCTGTCTTCAGGCAGTAAACACGACAACTTTATTTTTATTAAAGAATTTTTTAAAAAAGTAGGGTTTGTTCTTGTGAAAAGAGACATATTTATATCAAGAACTTTTTTCATTCACATTTTTCCCTTTCTTTGCCAGCTTCTATTGATTCAGAGCCCATTCCCTACTAAAATGTACCCAGGAGGGGTGGCGTGGGGGAGAGAGAGATTGGAAGATCAGAAGATCAGTATCACATGTCCACATGATGCTTTACTTAAAACCCAAAGATTTCTAAGAATGAGGCAAGACACAGGGATCTTCTAGCAACTACAAAACCTGAAGACAGGTGCTTAAACAGCAGTGCTCTTTCACCTATTGAGAGCTGCCTTCTCACAGACACGCATCTGCCTCCAAAGCTCCCACAACTTTTTTCTCTTGGATTCATGTATCGTCAAGACCTTACCTTAGCAGTTTTTGCATAGTAGAGCGTTCGTCCTCGCAGCTTAAAATATCGTCTCTTCCAGCGCTGGAAGGAGCTGGTCTGTTTCATCAGCATCCCCTCTTTTATGATAGTCTACAAAACAAGGAGAGGAGAAGAGTGAAGCACATATTTTACTGACAGGCATCTTTCATGCTCTCCCACTACATACCGGTACCAAAGACTGGATCTTGAGATCAATTATCTTAGTGCCCTCTGCTGGAAGTGCTTAACAAATTCACTAACAAAAGTGAGCAAATTTAAGATCAAACCATACAGTGCACAACCCACACTGAGTGCAGTTTTATCTTCATCTCCAGTGTTAACACCAAAAGAGATAAAGAACTCAGACTGAATGAGCATTTCAAAGTCTAACAAGGACTAAGGGAGTGCAACAGTTAAACTTGCTATGGTCTGGTCAGATTTCAGCTGTGGGTAATTGTGTCTTTCATTTAAGAGGCATTTGATTACAGGCACATAACACACCACAGTATATCTGTCACTATCTGCAGTTCTGTCTTGCAAAATTATCAGCATCTACCTGGCACAGAGCTGGCAAGCTGCAGGCCCACAGGGTAGAGTGAAACTAGTGTGAAGAAGGAGCTATATCCAACTTCAGCATTTGGTATTCTTCAGATAGTCTTGGCCCGGGCTCAGCACTCTCTGGCTGGCTGCCATTTCCCAGGGCTGCAGTGCCAAAACTGTCTACGCACACTGCCTCTTTTTTTTCCCCTTTAACTGCTTTATAACTAGATTGACATACCAGCATACACAGTCCCATATGCTTGCTCACATACTACGCATACCTAGGGGTATGTATCTCATCCACATGCACTTCATTCTACTTCGTCAAATAGATTCCTTTGCTGGAATAGCTGATGAAAATAATCTCAAGAACTGCAGCTGAGAAAGACAAAAGTCAGAACTGAGGGTATTGCCTAGGAACTGCAAAAGGTGTCAAGTCATGCCTCAGAACCACAAGAAACCTACTTTTCTCCCCAAGGAACCCACTTCTTGCTGAGAGAGCCCAATGCGATAAACACACAGTTAAAACACTAGAAACAAATGGTCCAACAATCTTGTAAGACAGGTTATTCTGTATCTTGATGCCAGGAAAATTACACAGCTTTAACATACCAGAGGTCTCAGTGGAGCTCAGGTTTGTAACAGTCAGGTCACTGATGAATATCAATTCACAAACACAGTGTTAAATGCACAGTGCCAGGCTACTACAGAGCACAAAATAAATACTCTCACTGATCCACAGGGTTTAGTTCATTTTAGAAATCCTTTCCAGGGCACTAAGCTTGCTTTAAAAATGCTATATATATTTCTAATGTGGGTCTTTCCTTTCTGAAACAGCTGCAGATTTTAATACTTTCCACACACACACTGGCCCTTGCCAAGCTCAAAGTTTCCTCAAAAAGCACTTGGAAAAAAATGCTGACTCCAAGAAGAAACATCCGTCTGACAATACGTGCTTCTCTCTTGCTCCACTGAGCTGTCCTCAAAGTGGCCTGAGAGATCATAAGGCCTGGACCACCATGGTGATGCCCCTGTTCACAAATCAGCTGGGAAGGAGAGAGCTCCCACATTCCTCTGCATCTGAAAGAGAGCTGCCAGCCATAGGAGCCACTATTTACCTTCCTCCACTGTGCTGGGAAAGAGACAAGGGTGACAGCTCCCCTATCTCCTCCAAAAGAAGCTTCATCTACCTTGGGAGCCTGGGACCTGGCCAACTCCGAGGCTAGCGAACACCAAATCTCACATTTCCCAGTGTTCTGTTTCACAAAGCCACCTGCACACTGGCAGGAATACCTGTCAGTGCTCAGGCAAACACCAGCTCAGTGTGCATGATTCAATCAGGAACCACCAATCTCCATGGTATTTCCAGCAAAATGAAAAGAGATAATGAAAATGCATGATCAAAGACTAAGCTCATATCAAAAAATGGCCATCTCCCGCACCAGCTCCCCAGAACTCTGAAAAGACATCTTGGCACACATCTTCCACAAGTCACAGCAGGGATAGAGCAGTAGGAATACACTCTTAAGATGCCATAAGTCATCTGGGAGAAGCTCTTGGGACCAGAATTAAAACACACTATACAGCAATACACAGAAAGAGGATGTTAAACTAACTTAGAGCTGGTGCCATGCAAAGAATATGAAACTCAGCCATGATCTTAATCTGAACCTTCAGTGTAAAAGAAAATTGAATTCAAAGACTGACCAAACAGCATCCCTTGTGGAAATGACCCTGACGGCAAGGCCTGAGCTGAAGGCAATCATCTGGAACCAGAAACCATCTGCATTCAGGTTCCTACTCTGCCTTGGACTTTTTGCAAGACCCCAATAAAGCTATTTTCACTCTGTATGCACCCATCTCCCATCTGCCAAGTAGAACAAACAGCACTACTAACTCTGTGGAGTCCTGCTGGAATATGTGTTTTGTGTGTATGTCTTTATGATGAGTTACTTTATCCTCCAGCACCTGAGTAACAAAGTGAAATGCAAAGCAACAGCATCTAAATCACCATGCTAAAGAAATCACACATTTCTGCAGTTCTTTCTGAAGGGAAGAAATCGGGACAGTAGCAAGAGATTTTCCAGTTTAAGACTAAACATTCTTGAACAAAAGCACATAAAATTTAGAAATGAGACAGGGAAAAGTAGCCACTGAACTCTGCAAAGCCCTGACCTGAACTCCAAGAGGAATTAAAAATCCTGGGGAAGACTCCCAGCATGCAAAGCCCAAAGATATCAAGTCAGCCAGGAGTCTGATCAAAAAATATCAACTTGCAGGAGATTTCAGAGCTTTGCCTGTTCAGATATGCTTAAACTGGGGTCAGCGAGAGCTTCGCATTCCCCAGGCTCAGCCAGAAGCACTCTGGCTGCTCAAACTCCTGCCCAGCCCACCAGAACAGTAACTCACAGCAAAAAGATACCTCTGCTTTGCTCAGCTCCCACTGCTCCCACCTGCCCTGCTCAGCTCCCCGCACCTCGGCAGGGCTCACTCACCTCTGCACAAGACATGCATTCCTCCATTCCTCTTTTAAAACAGAACCCTCTTTTTTTTAATTAACCAAAAGGCAACGATCCCAGAGGTCACCTTGCCCCTTCCTAAGCAGCAGTTTATGTCATTTGCCGGCCTCTATCTATAGAAAACCTCACGGCTACATAACTCAGGCATGAAAGACCACTGAGAAGCAAGCTCTCGCATGCACGCACTGCTCAGAGAAAACAAGCCTCTGGTTCAGAGCTGCCCATCTCTGCACGAGAGCGGCTGTTCTATTTATAGGCACTCAGCTCAGTAAAGAGTTTGGTGGGTTTGGGCGGAAAGAGCTGGAGATAAGATCAAGATGACTTTATAAAATGATTCAGACATTGCTGCCTTTCTCCTCCTCTATTTTAATTTTACAGCCAAAGAACTTGCGACTTGCAGAGGAACGCAGCTGAAGAGAATTAACTTGGGTAAGGACCTGACAGCAGTGACAGCAAATGAAAGAAAAGGGGGGAGCTGAACAGTTATTTCTGCTCACCAGCCTCTCTGTAGCCTTTTTCATTTAAGATCTCTCTGATCAGATTACCAGGCATGTAAATCATCAAGACAGAAGTGAAATTACTTCTCCCATAACACAAACAGAGTTAAATCTATTTTTAGTGGCATACACTGAATCCTACAGGAAAAGCTGCTGCCCTGAAACATCATGAGGTTTCGTTATGTGCATCCTATCAAGGGTAAATACAAAAACTGTGATGGAACTATCCAGACTGACTTCTATCCAGCTACATTCATCTCCAGGCATGGTGTGTCCTGTGGCACGGTACTGCATGTGCAGACAACTCGGATCAAGCCTTACATGATGTGCTACTAGTTTCAGTAGTGACCGCCTTTTACCATATTAAAGATCACTGTATAAAAGGTTACTGAGCAAACTGTCAATTTAAAGCAACACTGCACACAGCAGAGTGTCTTAAGCATCTCTGCAAAGAATATGTTCAGACAGCTGAAAGGCAGGGCTTAGGAAATTTGTAGCATTTCACTATTTATCTTTGGCCTTGAAGAAAAGCAACTTCCTGCAGAAAAAAGTTCAGTTCAGGGTGAGCCACGCACAACCCTCCCCCAACTCATCCCCTTTTAAGACTTGATATTTAGGAAGAGAAGTAATATGTTCTCAGATTTCTCCTGTCAAAATGGGTGCAGGGTTTAGGCCTAATCCTGACATGATGAAAGAAAAGCTTTGCCACTGACCTCAGTGGGAATGGTTTAAAACAACTCAGAGGATTTAAATTAAGGACTTAATACAGGGAGAGTCTTGTGCTTGACTGCTTCCCTTTCACACAGTCCCACCTCATAAGAATAAGAAGCCAAATGATTAACAGTAGTCATTCACAAAACCAGCAAGACAGTCGTACTTTTTTCAGCACTACTTGTCAGAGGAGTCTCTGTACCCAGTAACCCACATCAGGAGATCAGCCCACCAACCTACACAGATTAAATGCTTTCTATACTGATAAACTGAATGATTCTAGTAGAAAGTTAAGAACAATCACATCAGATTTCAGCTACTTTCAGACCGCATCCCTTGTTCTCCTGCATGTAGTACTCACTATGTGCAACACAGCAGTAGCTAGCTCATCCTTTCCTGAAGCTTAAGCCTCTTGCCTCCATTTGGAAGTACGGCTGTTGATAGAATCAACTTCCTAATCTGGTAAACAAGACCCTATTAGCCAGAGCAAAGACAACTCTCAACCATACCCAAGCTGGCAAGAGGCCTCTGGCACAGGGAGGCTCCAAACTGTATTTGATATAGACAGAGGAAGAACAATACAACCTATTTTACAACTGAGATCATGACATATTCTTAGGGGCAGTTACTCAGCGCCGCATATCTGAAACACAAGTTTTCATCAACTGGTGTTTCTTTCCAATGCAGAAGAAGAACTGTGTACAAGGAAAATCCTTCAAATCTATCTAAACAGCCATTAAAGAATCCAAACACCAAAATCCTCAGCATCTGGATTTCTGTTTTCCATGTGTCTTCAGAATGTAAAAACTTCAGGGCACAGCCTATTGTTATTTGTATGTACTATAAAACTTTGAGCAGGGTGCTGATGCCAAACAACAAATAACTGACTAAAGAAAGCACCAAATGCACAGAGAAGGAGAAAACCTGAAAAGCGTATGCAGAATTGACTATATCTATACATGTTTACTATGTATACATGTTTACAGGCAGCTGATCCCCAGACACCCAGCCACCTCATCCAGTCAATGACTTCAGGTAAGCTTGGCAAAAAAGATGTGAGTAGATCCACAGTCACTTAAACATGGCAACATGGCATCCTGCCATGTTGGAGCAGGTACAAATCAGGAGTGCTCTGCCTTGTTGTGGGTAAAACAGTTTTAGTAGCTGGCTCAATAAAAGCTCTTTGTGGTCAAAAATACGGAACCAATAATTATTTTAAAATCAAATGAAATACAGTACATCCAACACAGAAACTGCAGGAATAAATCTAAACAACCCCACAGAGTAAGACACAAAAGGTCAAAAGGCTAGAGGTTAACAAGCTAATCGGAGAGCAACATCCTTCCACCAGACAGTGGTCACACCCTGGAAATTAACTCCAGGAAGCTTGGAGGGGGGGAAATCTGGATCAGCAAAGCAATTCTAAGTATGGGACACACAGCTATACAGATCCATAGGGGAGCACAAGGAATTAGGACTACACAGGTTGTGTAGCCCTGTTTGGGAATTCAACATTGAATGCACTTGCCTTTTGCAAAAGTGAAAATTGCATAAAGGTTTCTTCCACTGGTATCAAAAGGACAAGCTATTATGTATATTCACCGTAACAAAAGGACTCCAGAAGAGGGGAAAAAGAAAAGAAAATCAGAGGTCAGCCACTGGAATCAACATCAAAGTAGAAGCTAGGGGTGTCAGTCAATGAACAGGAGCTGAGCTCTCCACTGATGAAGGGGGTACTGTCTAGTCTTTTAGTGTCAGTTGTTTCACACCATTTTGTTTTAATAACGCATGTTTTGTAAACTGGGAAGCACCTGTGTCAGGTCACAGCACATGGGAAAGCCTGCAAAATCTCCCCCAACAACCCTCCTCCCAATCCACCCTCTTTTCTAACTTCCAGCTTTGCTGATATAGCTGGACTCTGCATACCCAGTGAGAGACCAGCAGAAGCCTTGGCTGACTGCTCTCAGTACAGCCTCTCCGCAACTACTAAGACAAGCAGAATCCAGAACAGAGTGCAGCAAGCTGCTGATAGCTTATCTGAGATGTCACTGAAACAGGAAATGCAAGCTTATTCCCCAGATCAGCAGTGAAAAACAGGAGTTTGCGTCAACAAAAAATACTGAAACAGCTTGAGTTAGAATCTACCTTGGCAAGGAGAAACAAATACTCATACACTTTATTCTTCACTAGTTAATGCTGCAATCAGTAAGAAAAGAACAAGTCTTTGAAGCAGCTTCTTTTCAATATCCTGTTCAGCTGCTACTATTGTGAATGATTCTCTTCTAAAAGGAACAAGCACCCACAGATTTAAAGTGAACAAGTTAACAAATAAAAACAAATTTGAAAGCACACAGAAAGGTTGCACATATATGGGAAAGGAAATACAACATATCAGCATATCATCACGCAGTTCCCTGGTAAAATAAGTTAGAGACAGTTAGAGAGCTCCAAATGAAGTACTTAAAATAGATGAATACTCTGGTCAGATACTTAGAAGAGAGAATGAAAACCACACCAACACACTGATTCAGGATGAGTTAGTAGCTGGACAACTCCTGGCACGCTAACTGCTTAAGCCCTCAGAGTATGCTTTCCATAGGCTCTGGGTACTTCCCAAGCACATTTATCACAAGAGGGGAACTGAGCACAAAGCTCAAGTCATCCCAGCAGACTATAGCAAAGCTGGATGATAAGGACTCAAATACATCCAAAGAGATAACCAAAGCAAAAAAAGCAACAGTTTAAAAGCTACTTGTAAACTTTGGAACAGAGTAAAATTTTAAAGAGTACTAATTGAACATGAGCTTTATACATTTAAGTATAAACATGAAAATATGCTGCTATTTTTTATACCATGTCAAATTACACAGGCACAATTACATCCCTTCCTTAGGGCATTTTCCCCATACACAAAAAAAGTCAAAATACGTTACCTGCTGTGAAACCTTCATCTCCAAGCCATTTCTGGCACACAGCTATGCACCAGCACCATGGAATTCCCTATACTAACTCAGAAGCACAGGGCTTTGCTGCTGAAATGCAGCAATATAGTCTCATATCAAATCACAGCACTGTACACAGAACCCTGTAATGCTGCAGCCTGTACAACCAGAGCTTAAGTAACACTCTTACGCATTCAGAGAGAGACAAGTTATTATCAAAAAATATTACTGCCCATCTAAGCCCACCCATCAACTTCACAGGCAGGTAGAACAAGGCAAACACTTACCATAGCGGCACGTCAGGGCCATTTGATATGAGTGCATCAGGCTGGAAAGGCGAGATCAGAGCTATTCAAAGAATAGCGAACATAAGGGAAAGCACATCCAGAATACAGCTGCGGATCTCATCCTTGCAATCATAACCACCCCATCCTTCCCATTCTGCTAAATGTCATGGAGATCTTGGCCAAGTAGGAAGGAAAAGCCAGCAGAAAGTACTGGTATGAGGACTTCAGGACATGGGAAAGTAAAATATATACCTTTAGGAAGAAAACTGAATCCTTTGCTCTTGTGTCGAGGAGGCTGGGAGAAAGCTTCCTCCCACTGTGTCTGGATTCCCATCAACTCCGCTACGGAATTCTGCAAGAAGCCTTATTTGGTAGTGGCTGGTAGATGTAGGGCCAAATCCTGATCCTTTTACACCAACTGGTATTCCATTGGGATTACACTATTGAGAGCAGAAAGCAACTTTTGGCCTTTGGCCATTTAATTAATACTTAAGGTATCTTAGAATTTATTTTTATCTCATCTGTAACAATTGGTGTTATCACATTTTCCATATTTATGTATTAAACAACCTATGCTTTTAAGTTTTTTTTTCCGCATCCATTTAACATGGTTTTTAAAGGATACTCCAAAGTTTTTAATTTGTTTTTCCATTTTCCCTGTTTTAATGTCCTGCAAATACCTTTGACCATGCCAAGACATCTTGATCAGCACCAGCAACAACAAGGAAGATCAGCACAACCCTGGGAACACCGTTTTGTTAACTTTCAGCTAAACAGAACACAAGAGGCTGGTGTGAGTTCGTAGAAAACTGATTTCTAATAAGATCTCAGTGATAGATCTACACCTTCTGAAAGACAGCTGTGACCTGCTTTGGCAGAGAGCAGACTGAAAAGCAAGTAATAGCAGCTCATGCTTTAGCCCAAGTAGAAACTGGAAACTCTTCACTTAAAAACAGATAGAATTGTTGCAAAGGAGAAGAAATACACTATTTTATCAGCCACACTCCTGTCTTTCAAGACCCAGCAAAGGCACCTGTCCCCCAGGTCAAGACATTACCCCAAAGCTTGTGACACGTGCCTCAGCGTCCCGCTCGCCTGGGGATGTCCTATGTGATTTTGTGTACATGATACAAGCAGCATGCAACTCAATTCCCTGTACGGGAAACTGAGATGGTATCACCTCTCCCTGCTAGGACATTACATAGCTAAATTGACTAAAACTTGCAAGACTGAAACACAATATGCTTGGTGCAAAACAGCGTTAACTTTTCAAAAAGCAAACCACAACATTAGAATAAGGATCAGATGTAAAACTTTCTAACATAGCAATGACACTGTGAGGGAAGATTTTCTCCAAACCCAGACTGAGTAATCACCTACTAATCAACTACCAAACTTAACAGTTGTAATGTTTTAACCAGACAAGCCACCTTTTTTCTGCTCCAGATGAAAGGAGTGCAGCAGGCTTTGGATGTCTTCCTCTGTGTTAACTCTTCCATTTCCACATGTAGCCCAGACAGAAAGTACCGTACCCCACGGAAGCACTGACCTGCTTCTGCAGGGGTGCAGCACTACTGAATCAGGCACACACAATAAGCTCACTGATTTCTGAAGTGCTTTATATAAAGCATGCTATACAGAATCACAAAAGATGGCAGCTGAGGTGGATCACTGCTGCTGCCTCAGCTATTTGTCTGCCTGAAGCTGAACTGTAGAAACAAAGAGAAACATCTTTCTTTAAGAGACACATAAATTCTTAGTGAAACAAGCAGCAATAACCACTTAGTAAGGAAAAAGCAGGGAACAAATGGTTTAAGTGATGAGTTAATAAAAATTCCTTTAAATAATCGTTTGTACATTTGAAACCTTTAAAAAACACATTCCAAGAGGAAGGTGCATTTCACTTGGGCCACCATTTTGCCCTGAAATTTCCAATGATGCTGTGACACTATCTATTCTAAACCTTAAGCTTTCAAGGAAATAGGGAATGCAAAAACCTGTCTTTATTTCTGTTCTCATAAGTATGCAGGTATATCTGCTACTTTAGAGAGAATCCCACTGGACTTGTAATTAAAGAAGGTAAAGTTAAGCAGTGTCTTGGATGGTATACTGGAGTTTCTCACTGGGTAATCTTGAGATAGACATTTTACAGTTTTCATTCACAATCCAGTACTCCTCCAAAGTAAAATATCAATGATTTTTTGGTAACAACAGGTTTTGGGTAGGAGGAAATACTCTAAATATTTCACTTAGTTTTATTTTAAAAAAGAACCAAACCCTTTAACACCCACGTTATTTTGTCTCTAATTTGAGAGAACAGTTACTCGCCTGACAACATACTTTTTAGCCATGTGGTCTAAGTAAATCCATGCTCTCAAAACATGCAACAGTTTAATGTTTGCGTTTTGGTTCCAGGAACCTGAACCATAGTTAGAAAGAATGAGAAAAGCTACAAGTGTGTGTGGTTTTGTGCTTTGTTTTGTTGGTTTATGTGTTGGGCTTGGTTTTTTTTTTAAAGGAAGTAACAGCTGTTGGTTTCACATAGCATCCAAAAGTCTCCAGCAGCGAGGCAAAACTTAGAGTACACCAGTGGTAACAGCACTGGGAGGCCTCCCAAATTTTGTCAGAACAGCTGAGCCAGAAGAGCATGCAAAACATAGCCTAGATTAAGAGACAGAAACATTCTTGCATCCATATACCGTGGTTTAAAATCCTCCTTTTTTCCATAGTGACAGAGAAGGAACTAGTATGTTTGGTGTTAATCCAAGAAAATTCACACTCATAAAACCTGTGCTCAAGATGTTCAGTTTCAATTCAATCACAAGAACTTCTCTTTTGCAGTGATTATTCACCTCTTTAAGTGAAGAGTTCCCAGTTTCTACCTGGACTAAAGCATGAGCCACCACAATTTACAACATGTGAATCTCCAAAAATGTCCTCTTTAGACACCCTGTTAGAAGGCAGCATAACAAAACCAGACAGACATTGTGACATTTCAGTGGAGACGCCATAGCCAGAACATGAATTAAGCCGTAAATTACTGAAAATTCCCTCCTCACTTGTTGCATATCTCTTTCATATTGTCTCTTCACTGAAATGCATTGCTTCTTATCATAACACTTCTTTCAATAGTTGCATCAAACTAATAAACTTTTCTATTTCCTCACTCATCTCAGAAAACTTTGGAATGCTTGCCCTCCAGAACTAAAAATAACACTTCTTTACCTATAAAAATGGTCTTTTATCCATTAGGCAATATATGAAGAAACAAAATGAGCTTTCCTCAGTTACTAATGCTGCCTACCATATGTTTCAGAACTCGTTTAGTCTGTTCTGGAAACCTGCACAAAAACTGAGAGAAACATTTTGCTTCCTCCTGTTTTTTCTTGCTTGTATGATTCAGGGTGGCTCCTAGACCTCAAAGCTGCTAATCAGAAAGAGAATCACAACCTCCCATAGCGCTAAAGTTATCTATACCACAGACTGCTGCACAACACAGAAATCGGAAACTTGATAGTTTAGATACTGAACAAAGTCTGTCCAGCACAGCATAAAGCTTAATACCAGTTAATTTATCCTGCTTTTCACAACATAAATTAACCTGACATCTCCCTGCTACTGCAGCCAGGCAGCTTCCAATATCCCAGAAAGTCTGGTAAGCTGCTTGCTCTGTTTGCAACTCTGTTGAAATATATATTGCAACCTTGTCTTAAAAAGTTTAAGGCAATGATAAATGGTTATAAAACCTAAAATATTACACAGAAATTGCTCATAAAAGTAAACAGAAGTTAGACTGAATTAGTCTAAACAAGAAGTCCTCCTGATGCCATGCAAGGACGTCGCTGAAATCCTGCCTGGTAAACAAACTGAGGTCTCAACATACCAAAGCTGGCACGCTGGAAATCACACTAACTAATGAATGAAACAAGAACGTGTCCTATTCATCCACTCTCTTGCTTTCTGAGGCTTGTAAACTGATGCTTGCAATGAAAGGTCAAGGGCAAAGGAGGAAGCATGTGTTACCGTCAGCGCTCACGGAAGGTGCAGTGCTCCTCCGTTTCACACACTCATCTCCGAAGACCACTTTTGACTTACTGTGTCTTCATTCATGCCAGGTGACAACTGAGATGATACTACCACTTTAGCTGATTCCGACTGAGTCCTGAACACTGCTTAGAAGGTGGGAGCTTAGAAACTATTGCTTCTCCTTACACATCATCCTTGTCTTACTTTATTTCACCTCTTTCCTAATTCCCATCCACTCAAAAGTACTTTATCTTAGTTGACCAACAGTTTCTCTAGCTGCACCAATGCCAGCCTAAGACGAGGAGAGGGGCTAAAAGCACCTTACCATGAAGCTTGATGCTGGTACAAGTCTGACAGGTCTCAAAATGGCTGATCATGCACTCTGTGCAGCCTCGACTTTGCCAACTGAGACAGCAGTTACACTAGTAGTTACACCTGATCATAGAAGGTATCCTTCTTTCCCCAGAATAATAAAGAGACTACTAAACATATTTCTCTTCTTCTCTTATTCAAAAAATATTACTAGCTAAAACCAAGTACATTAAAACATAGTACAATTTCACTTTCCAAACACAAACTTCCCGCTATTCCTTCCCCTGCCCTGTATCTTCACAAGGGACAGATTTTTCAGCTAAACAGATATTAGCTATGATTTGCCTTCAGACACTGCTTGACAAAGTCACAGTGCCCATACATCCAAACAACTGTATTTGCCCCACAGTATTACCACACCAACGTATTTAAGTCAAACACACCTGGGCAACCTGTAGGCTCTCATAAGCAAGCAGCTTTATTTTACAGTGCTTCTTGAAAATCAACAGATGACAGGACCAGAGTAGGGAAAATGTATCTTCAATGTGACTGACAAACAAGTAAATTCTGAGGAACTTCATGGCTACAGCTGACTTCACACTCAAGCTGTGCTAAGAGTAGGTACCCATGGTGATGTTAACTGTACTTACAGGCATGGTCTTGAGCTACCTACAGCAGAAGATTTGGTTAGAAGAGATTTATATCCTCAGGGCAGAGTAAAAATCTGCCTGCATCTCTTACTGTCACTCTGACAGACCTGTCCAACAGCTTCTGCTGGTTACAGTCCTCACTCTGTCACTCAATAGACAAATTCAGAATTAGGCCTGCCTTCACAGAGAAAGCAAGCTCCTTAAACTCTCATCAGAGCTATGATTACTCACAAAGTTGCTTTTGCTCCTTGCCAAGAAGTACGTATGCAGC